CTCGTATTTAGTTATCTGCGTCTAGTCGGTTGAAACAGACACAATGTCAGAATTTACTTTAACGAAAAACAATGTGTGGGATTATTTTCAAAGAATTCCCAACGAGAAATTTCGAGCAAAGTGCAAGAAGTGCAAAAAAAATTTTACCTACATCACAGATATAGCTTTTTTAACACATTTGCGTACAAAGAAACATCAAAAATATTTCAGCGATAAAGCAAACAAAAACTTTGAAGAGAAACCGAATATATATTACGACCAATTACAGCTACAATGTAAAATTTGTGATAAAAAAGTTTCACATGCAAATTTTCGCGAACACGTACGAGACCATTCTCAAGAAGAAAAGGCATATTATGAAGCGAGAAGGACTATCAAGGAACATATGATACAACATGATAATTTTGAGGCGAAGTGCGGAGTGGAGAATTGTGATGATATTATAGTTCTTCAAATTATACCACCATTAATATACCATTTAGAAAGCAAGCATAGGAACGAATTGGAAAATATCCAAAAGGACGCAACGCGTAAGCCAACTATGATCACAAATAAAGAAGATCTATTGTGCAATTACATATTACACAGGCCTGATCGTTTTCATGCACAATGCAACTTTTGCAATTTTGAAGAATATTATACCGACACTGGAGTGTTTCATAAACATTTAAAAAAAAAACATAAGAAAGTTTATTCATACGAAGATGCAAACAAAGGATTCCCGTGGGAACATTTCAAGTATTACGACGAAAACAATTTACAATGTCTTCTCTGCAGAAATTTGCATACTGAAGAGTTTATCCTAGAGTACTTAGAAGAACATGTATATTCGTACCATGAACAAACATATCACGCAACTCTTCAGGACCGAAACAGCAGTGATATGGCCTGGAAATACTGTGACACCAGCGGAGATTTTCAAGTGCGATGTCGTCTTTGTTCCGCCGAAAAGGAACTTGATATTGAATTTACAAAATTAAACGACCATATTAGGAAAGAACATGTGGAAAAGCAACCAAGTACGAAAAGCGAGTATGATGAAACACCTGAAGCGTTAGGAAGCCAACCACAGGAGGAAAAAAGTAGAGAAAAAGGTAAGTGACAGCAAGTTTTATTGTTAATGCAATTATATACGTGCATATAATTATATTTAACTTTGTCGAATCGCGTTTAAGTAGAACAAATGCAAACAATAGTCAGATAACATGTTTCACAAGCAAATATTTATAAATTTTATAGGTTTATCCAAAGGTGAATGATGCTAACGGCGATCATGTAGAACGACAACCAGGCACCATGACAAAAGGCAACCTTGACTTTGGTAATTGAAACAATTTATATGCACAGAAAATGATGTATCTATAACGTGTAATAATTCGTTTTATGTTTACAAAATTATAAATATGTTTATAAATTGACGCTTAATAAGAAAGATTAAGTTTCATTTTTGAAATTTATGAAATATATTTAATATATTTTATATGTTTGATATATTTGCTTATATGTAATCCGGCTTAAATTTATAAACTATGCTTATAATTTCATAAAGTAAAACAATTTTATAAAGTAACAATCGACTCTTTAGTTCAAAAATAAAATTTGTTAATAAGTTATTCAGCACAATAATATTTCAGTTTTATTTTTATTTTTTACAATTCTATGTGTACCTTGGTTATACGTGAACATTTATTGTACTTGCGGCAGTTTAAATTTATTACGACTCCCTAGTTATTTTTATATTACTACAGGTTTCGAACTATAATATCAATGTAATAATAATAATTGGTAAAATACGAGTATGTCAGTTTAAATTTTACAGTTATACTTAGCCTCTCGAATTGATAATGCTTTCAATATAATAAAAAAATAGATTTGTCATTAACGAAATGCATGCTGTAACACATGTAAGACGATTTCCTTATAGAATTGAAAAATATTCAACACAAATGCTTATTGTATCATTTGGCTATTTTATTAATAACTTTTTATTCATTTGTTTATTAACATAATCAAAAACTAACGTCTATCAGTTCAATTCAATAATCACACAAGATTTCTCAAATGTATGTAGCTATCGAAAATCTGCGAAAACAAAATATTATAACGACACATCTTTTTAATAATTATAATTCAAAATATAATTGAAGAAGTTAAAACAGTTGAAACGACTTTTAAATTAATTGTGTTTTAAAATTTATAATTAATTATGATTAAAGATAGAAACTGCGATCATGACACTTCATAAAACTAAAACTTAAACACATTGACAGCATAATGTAAGCAAATGTATAAATAATGTAGTAATTCTCTAAAGTATTACAAGTATCTATAAAATTCCATCGTTTTATTATTTTAATATTACGCTAATGTAAAATTTTAAATTACTTGCATAACACTATCAATGCTTGCATGATATTCAGTTTGCGGTACATAATGTTGAATATGGACATAACGCATTTTTCAATTCATAGTAATTTAGTATAATTAATAGTATAATTATAATTAAACTGAGTGAAAGTTAATACATGACATGTAACAATTATTGTTATACTTAAAATACATATGCATGAAAGAAAAACGCTTTATTTAATCATTCTATACAAAAATATTTAGAATGCCCATAAAAAATAAAAAAATTTTAACCCACATATAACTTTAGGTAGTTGTAAAAAGAAGTAAAATTTTAATTTGCATGGAATTTAATTTTCAAAAAATTATTCTTCTTCGTGTATAATTTTCAATGTTATGCTTACGTAATGAATTATTATAATTTCCTCGATATATGAAATGTTTCGAAATGTAAAAATTATATATGCTATTTTTTCTTTCATATTCTATTAGTAACATTTTGTTCTGGAGTAACACGAAAAGTTGATTTTTTTATAAACTCGATTTCTGCAAAGTATTTAATAATTGTCGTGTGTAAGAAATGCCGGATAAAATTGTTCAATTTACTCTCAAACGCTACCTGGTTTAATAAATTTTTTAGTAACGTTAATGATCATCTGATAATATAATCGTGCAGTCTCTGCAGAGTAACAGTAAAACAAGCTACGCTCCTACACAGAGATTTTTAAATGGTAAGAAGGGTTTTCTGCTTTCTAGTAGAAATTCGCGAGAGATGGCATTGTAAAAAACTTCGATAAATTTTACCATAACGCAAAGAAGATGTTACAGTACATGTTAAAGTAAAGTAATAACAAAAACTTATAAAATTTTTTTTCGAAAAATTACATTCTTATGTGTGTAATCTGATTAAATATTCTTCCAATAAAGATCAATTTCTTTTAAATTTTTCGAGCACTTTGCTAAATAAAATTAATTAATCATTAAAAAAGTGTTTTCATAAAACCGAAATAGTATAAAATAAATAAAAAAATAACAGTTAAATAATAGTAATAACAATATATTAATAGAATATGTTATAAAATAAAAAATAGATGTTGATAAATTTTGAATGTGTAAATTACGTGAGTGTCGTATTGGTTGAATATTAAAAATAATCGTATTATTAAAGACTTAATTTATTATATAAAAATTATATTTTTACTATCTTTCGGTATAAAAATTAAGGTTTAGTTGAAAATACAACCAAAAGTACAACAGTGAAACGGCAATAATTATTTAAATTTATTATAAACTTTCTTAATAAATATAGCTCTTTAAATTAATACATTAATCATAATTTTATTACATGAGCTGGTAGAGCTAAAAGCTAGAATTTAATACCCGCAATTATTATTTACATCATATAGAAAAACATCAGACGTTTCGGCCTTGGACTTAGGCCATCATCAGCGTTGAAGGTAAACAAACAATTTTTCGATAAACGATCTAGAAGTAACAAAGCAACGTATTTGAAAAGTTTTACATTTAACACTACTTAATACATGTTTAAGATTGATCTCAAAGGCAATTCCTTTAGTTATATTATTTCTATCGTTGTCTATATCTTCTGATTTTTCAATCTCGAGGTTGAATAGAAAAACCGTGTTTTCTTAATTTGATTTCTATATAGTCATCTACTCTGATGCCTAATTAAAATTGAGATCATATTGACCGCGCTAATGTTTTCAGTGTGTTCTAATTATATTACGTATATTAAAAAGTGTCCAAGAAACCTCATCTAAATTTTCGCAACTAGTGACAGTAGTTGTTTAGAATCCTCAATGAATACAATATAATAAAATGAGGCTGACTTGAGTAAGAATATGAAGACGTTACGGAAAATGAAGCGATGCATTTTCGACACTTTTTTATAAATATAACGTAATTCAGACACACTGAAAACATTGGTGCGGTTGATATGGTTTCAATTTTAATTAACAACGGCATCAGAATACCTAACTATAAAGAAATCAAATTAAGAAATCTGGTTTTGCGTTCCAACCTTAAGATTGGAAAATCAGAAAATATAGACAACAAATAGAAATTATATAACCAAAGAAATTGCATTTGTGATCAATCTTAAATATGTATCAAATGATGTTAAATGTAAAATTTTTAAAAGGCGTTGCGTTGTAACTTCTAGATCGCTTATCGAAAAATTGTTTGTTTACCTTCCACACCTAAGCCCAAAGCCAAAACGTTTGTGGTTTTTCTATATGATATAAATCAGTGCTAAATGCTCGGAATTATCTTAGCATTTCAGCCGATTCTCGTAGTTGATGCCTCCTTTCCTCTTTTTACCGCGCGCACATGAGCTGCTAGGACCAGCGTTGTCAAGTGTCAAGAACGGCACTATCCAATTAATGATTAGGTTCTTCTCCCTTTATTATTAAAATTTTTTAAATATATTAAAAATAGTTTTTTTAATTTTTAAATTTATTATAAAAATATTCCATTAGATTTCCACGTCAGGTAATATTGCTCACGCGTTCTTTTTAGAATGGTTTCCTCAGTAGATCTAAGGAACATTTTTAAAATTATAATAATAAAGAGAAAAGAATCTAATCATTAATTGGATAGTGCCGCTTCTGACGCTCGGCGAGGCTGGTCCTAGCGTTGAGACGTGCTCGGTAAGAAAAAAAAAGAAGGCGTCCATCACGAGAATCGGCTATATATGTATATACATATACATATAATGTAACAAATTTTAGCATGAAAAATTAAATTTTCATCTTTGAATTGTAAATTCACATACATGTGGAAATTTACATCTATAAATGTCAGTCTCAATACCATAAAAATTATTATAAATTTTACACAACAGTATCTTACAGTGTAAATCAGCGCTCGGAATTAGTTGCACATTTCGGGCCAATTCAAGAGACAACGCTTCCTGTTCCCCCACTACCGCCCGGCCGCTGGCGGTCGAGCCGCCGATAACTTTGACGCAGGAGCGTTTTATATAAGAAATAGGCTCGGTTGTTGAGGCATCTCTCAAAAAATAGTAATATTTTCTTTGCTACATAAATAATGTTTATTTTCTATTAATTAATTAAATATATATATTATGTATTAATGAAAATAAACAATTATTTATGTAGTGAAGAAAATAGTTACGATTTCCTGAGAGATGCCTAAACAATCTAGTCTATTTCTAATATAAAACGCTCCTGAACCAGAGCTATCGGCGGCCCGCCAGCGGCCGGGCGATAGTGGGGGGACAGGAGGCGTTGTCTCCAGAATCGGCCCGAAATGTGCAACTAATTCCGAGCGCTTAAGAGGCGCGACTCTCGACTTGGAACACAGCAAATGATTTTCAGGCTGACCATTAATAGAGATTGATCGCACATAAATACATGCTCCATATGCTTGTTGACTAGCATCTAGAAAAACCATGAATCTCTATGCCTTGCGTTGTATCGTATGTGATCACCTTGCGAG